CACTTTGACCCGTCGTCATATTGTTGTTGTTATTCCCAGAGCAAGGAGCTTGACTATTCTGAGAAGCATTGCTCTGGAAATACTCTGCCCCTGGGCCGCCACTGCCACTGCTATTTATGTCCTGCTCAACCTGACCTGCTTTGCGTTTGGCCTCGTTTTGACTTTTCTTATTAAAAGTCACATTGAGGTTTGGGGCCCCAAGGCTGGCGATCATATTCTGGCAGGCCGTGGAAAGAGCTGCCAGACAGCTTTGGCCAAACACACTGTCTTTTGTACTGGCTTTGTTCAAATTCCCCAAAGAGAGGGCCCCAAGCTTATTGACTGACAGGTGCTGGCTGGAGAGGTACTCGGGATGGGCGGGATAGTTCCCTGGAGAGGAGCTAAATCCTGGGGGATTGCTCTGGGGGGCTCCCTGTTGACTCGGCCCTCCAGGAGGGAAACTGTGCTGCCTCCTCATCGCCATTCCTCCGAATTCAGCCGGCCTCCTGTCCGACTGCATGTTGCTCTCGTCGGGAGACTGCATCTGCAGAGGATTGCTGACGTTATTCTCGAATGGATGATGCGCTCCGGGAGAATTCAAAGACTGCATGTCCATGCTTGTGATGCCTTGTCTAAAAATAACATTGTGTCCGTTCTCCGCCTGCTCCAAGGCATGCGTGTTTGTTTCTCTACAATGCTGTTGTGGCTCAGGAAACCATGAGTTTTCTTGAGGTAGGTGGGGGCTGTCAAAGTTTCCATGAAAATTGTTATGCTTCTTCTCGAAATTGGACTGAGACACACTGCCCAGAGGGCCTCGGCAGACCATGCCGTTTGACGTGACGTCCCCGTGGAGACTTAACTGTTGCAGGTCGGGTTGCCTCATTCTCTGCTGCTGGCTTCTCGATGCCATTTGTTTGATAATCATCGCTGCGTTTTGCCGGCGTTGCTGCTGCTGCTGCTGCTGAGGGCCGGAGCTCAAAGGTAGGGGGCCTGATGGAAACCCATCCGTCACATGAGATGTGAAGTCCCCCATGGGAGAGGGGAAAGCTGAAGGGGAGAGGTGGCTCTCAAGATTGGGCCGATTATGTAAACTGTTACAACTCTCTCCAGCAGAGCCATTTGGGAGATCAAACCGTGGCCTTTTCGCCATATTCAAATAAGGCAGTGAGCTGAGGTGAGGGTGATGTGGGGGTTGAGGGGCGAGCTGGGGGACATCAAACACCGGCTCCCCAAAGGGATGCATGTTGTGGTTATTCAGTCTATGGACGGGCCGATCGAGGTGGCCGTGCTGGACGTGAACCATCGGGCCGCCGCTTTGAACCTCTGCATAGTCCGGCGTGTGATAAAACCGTGGAAGTGCAGGCGAACTGGGATTCTGCCTGGCAACAGGTCCAGGTCTTTGCTGCGCCATGAGGTGGTGTCTAGCGTTAACCCCTGGGTCGATTTTCCCTCTGAATCGGTCCGAAAACACGTTTTGCTGAGGTAGCTGCTGTTCGACTTTCGAGCCGCCCATCATCGGCCCTCGGGAACCGGTTCGATTACAGGTGGAAAAAGGACCCCCTGCTACTTGGTTCCCCGTTTCACAATAGGGCAGTTTGTGCTCTGAATTATCCGGGGTGGAGAATCCCGTCATGTCGAAATTCCCCGTCAGAGGATCACAGGGAAAACAGTGCTCGGATCCAGCCATCCTGCCCTGTGGGAAAAGCCTGTAGTGTTCAAGTCTGTGGGTTTCAGGGGACGAGGACGGCAGGCCGTGGAACGAAGCGGCGCGGTTCGGTGACTGGTCTAGGGGAAGACAGGGAGCCGGAACCGCATTGTTACCGTTCGGATGGCCGTGCGGTTGAAACTCAGGCATGGCCGCCATTCTCTGTTGGTGCTGTTGCTGTGAAATGCATTCTCGCGACTGCGCCTCTGCGAGCTGCTGACCGAATCCTCCCTCAAACATATGCGGGTGACCTGCGTTGCTGCTGTTGAAACCCATGTGTCTGTCCCCATGCAAGCAAGAGGGGACACTATCCTGATACAGATGTGAATGCTGCTCGTGGTTAGGAGCTTGATGGTTGAATGGTCCTTGCATGTGGAGTTGATGTTGTGGCTGAACTCCCATAGTGAGCATATCCCCATGGCCATGAGTCTGGAATCCATACTGGTCTCTATTCGAGACGAAGTTGAGTCCCTGCATAGGGGATTCGTTTAGGGGACCCATCATCGGCTCCACAGCTACCGACGGCCCTTTCATATGAAATCCGGCACTGTTATAATTAGAGTTCATTTTCAGTCGACGGGGATTAAATTCCTTTTGTTTGTTTGTCACTGCGAATAAAAAAAAAAAAAAAAAAGAGAGAGAGATCAGTCATTTTTTTGGTACTTTCAAACATTATTATTATTTTTTTTTTTTTGTCTGTTAAGTGCTTATTTAATAATCCAAATTATTCTATAATTTCAACAACACAATTAATCATTGAGAAAAACATTAAAGTTTTCGTTTCACATGCATGTGCATTTTGATAAATATTAAATGACGCGAAAGAAAGAGATCACATACCTCAAATCCAGCACGAGCATAAAAACGCGAAGTCCTCTGTGGATATCCCTAATGCAACGATCCTGGAAAACGTGCATCTTAATAAAACTCCTCGTTTACATCATTATTCGATGCGTAACGTCCCCAAGTCGTTCAACACATATCCAGAGGAGTGCAAAGCAGCGCGCGTAGCACATGTCCCATGTTCACATCTCCAATGCAACGCGCGCGATCCCGACGAATTGTTCTATATTTAAAACACTGCCGTGCACTCAAAAAATAGTAAATAAATGCATTAAATCAGCGGTCCTCTGAGGAGAACTTCGCGCGTGCGTTCAGTCCTGCGAGGAGACCCAATGCGCCTCTGTGGGTGAGCGCGCGCTTATAAACTGGAGAGCCCAGGATCCCTTTTGTTGCCACAGGATGAAATGCATTTAGCACATAAGATTAATCGGCAGTTTCTTTAATATTGTCCGTACTGTACGCGCTTTTCCATCAAATAGTTCTGGCTCCAGGAAGATTTTCTCATTTATCCTTCCTTGTGTGTCGGTTGTGTTGAGCCGCGGGCATCGGCAACAAGTTTGACATTCCCTCATCTGTTCCAGCGCTGATTCCTCACCAATGCCGACACAGGCACACATGCGCAGGGGGCGGGGCTTCGCGCACCAGGGCGGGGCTTGACGTACTGGGGGCGGGGCTTTGCTTAAGGAAGCCTAAAAGAGACGTATAACGTATCAATAAAATATAATACGTTAATAAGAAACAATACTTGGTCTAAAACGTCTTTCACAAATACAAGATCGAGATTTCTAGGAATATCAATAACAGCTGATAAAAATATCCAAACTAGCTGTAATAATTCTGTACATAGATTTCTGAATTACACTGGGACGATTTTTTCCACCCACAAATCTACATATTATAAAAGCATGTAAAGAAAAAATGTGTCACGTGTGAAATACTAGATCTCTAATTTACATTTTTCATCATTTTAAACCGCTTCAGTGTAAATATTCAGTCATTCCCAAATCTCCCCCATATTCCTTTATGCGCAGATAATGTAGTAAATATGCGTCAGTTAATTAGTAAATTAGCAGATGCATGAAACAGGCTTCATTTTCAAGCTGTGACGAATGGCAGCCGGAGATAATGAATGTGGGTTAATTCGGTGATTGTGATGTATTTTTAGAACTCATTTCTGCAGCATGGGTCAAATTATTTATCTTCACAACAAAAGCGTTTTAATGCATACTAATTAAGAAATTGTAGAAATAAAAACCGTAACACTGCAAACTAGACAGCGTCCCCACAAACCACAACCATTAGGCTACTGAAAGGTTTTACGGTGAAATATAAGTGGCCATTTATTGAGAAATTAAACTAATAGACAGCTTAAGAGGTATTTTGTAGGTCCCTCTGGCCTCCATAAGAAATCATTACCTGTTTCTTTGACAAAGAGGAACAGTGCCATCTAGTGCTGAGACTAGGAAAAATCCCATTAGATTTCAAACATGTAGCTTTTAAAGTCCCACCACCTTCATACCACCGATTAGGACTGGGTTTGGATATTTGGAAACGCTTTACAATAAGGTTCATTTTGTAAACTACATTAGTCAACATGAGAAATACCTCTTAAGCATGTATTAATCTTAGTTAAAGGGATAGTGCACCCAAAAATGAGAATTATGTCATCATTTACTCACCTTCAAGTTGAATTTCTTCCTTCTGTTGAACACCAAAGAAAATATTTTGAAAAATGTCTATGGAACTCTTTGCTTCCCTATATTCTTCAAAATATCTTATTTTGGTTTGGAACAATTTGCAATTTCGGGTGAACGATCCCTTTAACGTTAAAGGGATAGTTCACTTTGAAATTCATTTTTGGTACGTTTTGTCTTACCTCAAGGGCATCCAAGATGTAGGTGTCTTTGTTTCCGCAGTATTTTCAATTTTGATATTTTTAGGTCAAACCGTTCATGTCTGTCAGTCATATAATGGAGGTCTATGGTCACCACCTCAAAGAGCATGCACAGAGAAGTCCAAATTAAACATGATTTAATGACTCGTAAATGTAAGTACACATTGATGGCCTAAGACACGAAACGAGCCGTTTGTGTGAGAAAACGAACAGTATTTATATCGTTTTTACCTCTTGTAACCACAGCCGCGTCCAAGTGATCTGAGGGCACGAGCGCTTCGAGTGGAGGCGGGGCTCATTTGCATATTCATAGAAACGCATATCTATATCATTAAGGCATGATGACTTTCTAATCAAGGAAAACATTTAAAAATGTAATTTTGGTGATCAAAGATGAGATAAGGGATAAAATGATAGACTTCTAATGCATTTACTAAGGTTACTTACTGCAAAAGTGTAAAAAAAACTTTCCATGACGTTCCAGGCCTAAAAAAGCGCTTTTAAAATCAACTTACACATCAAGGTTTTCCATAAGCATGCAACAGCAGTGTAAAGAACACTCAAAATAAAATCCCAAGCCCGTCTGGTGTCGAAATTTATTAGATATACTGTTAATCGTTCAATTTATAACCATTTCAGAAGCAGCAGGGGGGAAAAAAATAATAATAAACAGAATCAAAATCACACCGTTGTACATTCACTGATATTTCCCCTGATTTTCAAACAGAAAAAGACAGAAACAGCATTGTGTAATTCCCCAAGAAAGAAGAAGAAAAAGAAGCTTAGATTACAATACATGATTGATTGATTATCCCTGAACCCCATGCCCACCCCGCTAGCCTAAAAGCCAAAGTAAACACACGATCCGTGAGACTCGAGACAATGTTCGTGTCTGCCGAGCAGACGTCAGTGCACTGATTGCTCTACAGAAAATATACTTCCTCCAATCACTGATCTAGAAGAAAAAGAAACGCAGGTGCGGCGCTATAGAGGCGCAAGGTGCATGACTGCGTGAACGTTTGTGGACCTTGAAATGAGAGGGACGTTAAGAAGCAATCCTATTAAAACTACCAGGACAATCACAACGAGACTCACACTACCGTAATCTGCTGTCCACACTTTTAAAAACCGAGAAGATAAAACACTCTTTTTGCTAGGCTGGATGATCTGAGCTGGTGCAAGACGGCCAGAGACGAGGAGGACAGGAAGTAGAATTATTTCTACACGCACATCCTCGCTCAGATCCGACCTGGTACGATATAGAAACTATACAAGCATCTGTTGAGGCGTCGACACACACACACACACATTCAGGCGCAGAGCTCAGGGTTCCCACGACGTTTCATACACTATATAAACACATTAATTATATAGATACAGTAGTGGCCGGACGTGAGATTTGTTTTTAATGACCATATTTCTTAAAATATGAACTAAACTTTGCTATCTGACAAAACTCCAGCTACAGGTTTCATTTGACTATGCAAACGAGAGTGACTATTAATATTTAGTTGGTTCTCTCTTGTTTTGCACGTGTTCATAATTTCTTTGCATGAGAGCACAAATAAAACAATCGACTCCAAGCACAATACGCTTACAAAATCTAGTAACTATAATCGAATAAAGGATGAAGACCGCACTACTGTACGCAAGCCTTACATTTCATTCACTGTTAATCAGAGAAAATGAGCATGAAATAATATACAAGACTTCAGAAAAACTACAGGCACAAACATGAGCCTTCTGCCTGTCTAGCGACAGCGAATTTAAATCTGCTGTCATGACAACGCCAGTAGTATTTGCATAATATGCGCAAGGATACCAGTTACATCCGGAACCAGAGATTCATCCACCTGGAAAAGTAGGTCCACCTTAAAAACGGCCACATGTCTGCTTGTGCATTGCACCAGCGCTATTATGACTGCGATTGGTGCTCGAGGGACTAAGCGAAATTATTCCCTGCATGCACACATGTAATGAACCGAGACTGAGACTTTCTTCCAAGCCTGGAAATCACAACATTTCCCTGATATCTCCAGGTTTTTCTGCGAGCGTGGGAACCCTGAAGCGTTACAGGTAGATTAGCGATATGAAAGCACTTCGCCTGTCCTAAAGCCAGTCGAAATATAAAAAAAGCAGCAGCGATTTGCTCCGGTAATTAGTCTGGACTTTTGGAGAGGAGTAAAGAGTCCTGAGGGGGGTTGGGTCTCGGAGACCCTCTTAAAGACATGCCTGAGCTCATGCTAAAGCCACTCGCAGACAAAATAAATAAATCCTGCGAGGTGGACGTGTGTTTTTGCGCGCAAATGTGCATCACGTTTTCCTAGAAAAACTGGCAAATTAAAAATTAGGAACTGAAAAGAAGTGCTTCATCGGTGGGGGGGAAAGACTAAAACACAGACAGGAAAAGTAAAGATCTGAACCATTATGAGAGAATATAACCAAACAAAAACAAACAAATAATTGGTCCGATGCCTGCCAAAATTAAGTCGTTTTTTTTTTTTGTGTGTTTTTTTTTTCCTGAATTAGAATAACACAACCATACAGCAATACTCTGACGTTTCTAAAGTGGTAAGTCACTGGATCAACCTGCCTGAATCTAGAAAACAGGTCAAGTGTCGTCCAGCGCGCAAGACAGTGTCCACCCTGTCCAGTACTACTGATCATTGTGTCATTCTGCTGTCCGGCGCCGCCGGCCGCTTCGGTGGATGCGTTGATGTCGTTCGTCGAGCGTCATCGTGGTTGGATTCTTGTAGTTTTGCCTCATTGTTCGTGAGCAGCACTGGTGCCTCGAACCTGACCAGTTTTACGAAGCTACAGGTGTGAGAGAAGAAAACAGTGACGTTAGGAACCTTCTCTCATGCGTGACTGAAGCCAAACATGAATCATTACAACACCATCACGTCCTAACCAGGCATGAAGTGATAACGAGAATGAGGCGGCCTATCATGCGACAGATCATGTTTCAATTTGGTTACAGTGAAATCTCATTGGTCGAAAATATTACTTAACTCAAAACATTAAATACTATAAAACACTACAATAGTAACAAATAACAACAGAATTAAACTAATATAACACCGAGTATTACGTTTTTTTCCTACAGAATATATATATACATACTAAAAATATTTTTAGTTAAAAAAATAAGCAACTTTATAGTGTTCGGAAGGATTTTAGACCAAAAAAAAATATATATATTTATATATTTTTTTGGTCTAAAATAGTAAAAAAAAAAAAAATATATATATATATGAAGAGTTCAGATGCAAAAGCCTCTAAATGCCATTTGAAATGTTCTTCTTTAATGATGATTTTTATCAAACTTGTATATTTAAGTTCAGTAATTTCACTTAAATAACAATTAATAGGTAATTATCATTGTCATTTAAGTGAAATTACTGAACTTAAATATACAAGCTTGATAAAAATGACCATTCTAGAAGAAAATTTCAAATGGCACTTAGAGGCTTTTGCATCTGAACTCTTCATATATATATATATATATATATATATATATATATTTTTTTTTTTTGTCTAAAATCCTGCCGAACACTATAAAGTTGCTTATTTTTTAACTAAAAATATTTTTTAGCAAAACTAATAAATGCAGTGAAATAAATATTGCTTGCTGGTTCATGCTAGGTAATCCATTAACCATCATTTCAATTAGTTAGTTAGTTTGAAGTGTTTCCCATCCTATATTTTACTTCAGCTTTATTTCAGATAATTAAAATTAAAAGTTTTCCCTGTTTGCTCACAATACATTAACGTAAACAAATACAACTTTTGATTTAAAAATGATAACGAGAATGATGCGGCCTATCATGTGACACGCTCTTCCAATACAATCCATGTGGTCGATCGGTTTCAATTTGGTTAGTGAAATCTCATTGGTCGAAAATACTATAAAATACTATAAAATACTACAATAGTAAAAAATAACAACAGTATTACACTAATACAACACTGGGTATGGTTAATATAAGGATATTACATATAATTTTGGTCTAAAATTATGCCGAACATTATTTTTATAGCTTATTTTCAATTAGTTTGTTAGTTTGAAGTGTTTCCCATCCTATATTTTACTTCAGCTTTATTTCAGGTAATAAAAATTAAAGTTTTCCTTGTTTGCTCACAATACATTCATGTAAACGATTTAAAAATGTATTAGTAAATTAACTAAGATTAACAAATGCTGTGGTGTTTTTCATAGCTTTATGTCTACTAGTGTAGTTGAAGATATGCACACAAATGAAACCTTAATTGTAAAGCGGTACCGAAATATAAACCTAAAAATACTAGAATGACTAAAACTGTAATTACTGTAATTAAAGGGATAGTTCACTTTGAAATTATTTTTTGGTTTGTTTCAGCTTACCTCAAGGTCATCCAAGATGTAGATGTAATTTTGATATTTTTAGGTCAAACCGTTCTTGTTTGTCATATAATGGAGGTCTATGGTCACCACTTCAAAGAGCATGCACAGAGAAGTCCAAATTAAACATGATTTAATGACCTGTTGATATATCGAAATTGCGATTTCCTGTATATCTAAATATGTTTAGATCTTCACAGTGAAGGATAACACTTCTGAAATCTCTGTGTAAACAATGAGGGACGTACACGTGCGAGAGATCACTTGGACATGGCTGTGGTCACAAGAATAAAAACAATATAAATATTGTTCATTTTCTCACACAAACCGCTCGTTTTGTGTCCTAGGCCATCAATGTGTACTTACATTTACGAGTCATTAAATCATGTTTAATTTGGACTTTTCTGTGCATGCTCTTTGAGGTGGTGACCATAGACCTCCATTATATGACTGACAAACAAGAACGGTTTGACCTAAAAATATCAAAATTGAAAATACTGCGGAAACAAAGACACCTACATCTTGGATGCCCTTGAGGTAAGATAAAACGTACCAAAAATTTAACTATCCCTTTAACAAATGCAAATAAAGTTACTAAAACTTAAAACTAATTCAAAATACTAATACTATTAAAATAGTATAAAAATAATAATCTTTTTAATATACTATGCTGGGCTGTTCTCTAGATCTCACCCGTTTTATCATCTACAAGTAAAGCAACTAACAATAATAACGCCTTACTAAACACTATAAAAATAATTCCTTCTGTCATGATTTTGTCGCAGCATTTAGTTTTCACTGTGCCTGGTCAGTGTGAATACAAGACCCTCAAACGTGTACGAACGCACGCTCACTCAAACCAAAGAGAGCAAAAACACACACGCTCACATGCGCCGAACACAAACACACTCTGGAAAAATCAACAAACACAAAAGCGGTGATTAGAAACCAAGAACACAGAGCAGAGAAGCAGCAATGAGGGGAAATGAGCAACGAAGAGGGAAAAACACAAGTTTGGGCAGAGCCGCTTGGAAAGAGCGGCCGACGAGTCTCTTCCACAGCCAAACGCAGAGGGAGGGAGAATAACACAAATGTGAAGCGGCTGTGCTTCATTCTGACTCTCAATTTCTCTCGAGATGAAGAAAGTCTATAAAATTAACTTCATAACTGCCTGCAAGATCAACACAACTCTGAAAGACGTCCAACACACGACCAATACGAAAATAAAAGAATAGTTCACTCAATCAAAAGTTCGTCATCTTTTATCATCGTTCCAAACCTGCATGACTTTCTTTCTTGTAAAAGCAGCATTCAGGTTGCTCATTTGATTTGAATACAATGAAAGTATACAGTGGCTACAATAGAAGTCCATACAACACACACACACTATCTGACACCATTTATGAGATGAACAAACTAGGTGTCACAATACATCGCAACACAAAAATTAAAGTAGTTCACTTTAAAAAAAAACTTTTGCTGATAATTATACTCACCCCCATGTCATCCAAGATGTCCACGTCTTTCTTTCTTCAGTCGAAAAGAAATTAAGGTTTTTGATGAAAACATTCCAGGATTTTTCTCCATATAATGGACTTCAATGGGAACCAAATGGTTCAAGGTCCAAAAGACAGTTTCAGTGCAAACTGTTCAAAGGGCTTTAAACAATTCCAGACAATGAATTAGGGTCTTATGAAGTAAAACAATCGATCATTTAATAAATAAATAACAAAGTTTAAGTTTTATAAGCTCAAATGCTCACCTTGCTCTGTTCTGTGATGCGCGTTCGTGACTCTCCTGTTCGAACTCGTTTATCAAAATGAACGAATCTTTTTCCGAGTCATTTGGTTCATTCAACGAACGAATTGACTCGAAAAAAGATATGTTGATTTTGATGAACGAGTTCGAACAGGAGAGTCACGAACGCGCATCACAGAACAGAGCAAGGCGTGCATTTGAGCTCATAAAACTTAAACTTTGTTATTTATTTATTAAATGAGCAATCGCTTTACTTCATAAGACCCTTATTCATTGTCTGGAATTGTTTAAAGCCTTTTGAATAGTTTGCAGTTTGCACTGAAACTGTCTTTTGTACCTTGAACCGTTTGGTTCCCATTGAAGTCCATTATATGGAGAAAATCCTGGAATGTTTTCATCAAAAACCTTCATTTCTTTTCAACTGAAGAAAGAAAGACATGGACATCTTGGATGACATGGGGGTGAGTAAATTATCAGCAAAAGTTTTTTTAAAAGTGAACTACTCCTTTAAATGTTTATCGCGGATAGTTCACCCAAAAAATTACCATACGCTTTCAGAGTTTTAATGTCGGTTAGACTACTATATATAATGTTGAATATAATGTATAACAATGCAATAGGGGTCCTCAAAATGCCAAATGATGATGTTACCATTTATCATTATTTTAAATATATCTAGTCAGTGAAAGAGTGCACATCGGCTCCATTTGGACGACGTCTAAGGGCAATTAAACATTCTACAAATCGCTATAAATGTACCTTTTTTTAATGTATTTGACTGTATGTGCTTTTAAGTGAGACAGCATGTAAGCTCAAACTAATTGCACCAAAGGGGAATAATAAAGCTCTAAACTAAAAAAAACCCCAAAACAATAATTCTGTATTTTCAGCTTCAGAATCATGAATATTGTTATTCTGGTGTCTCTATTGTCCTGTGCTTTGCGTTTCAGCACCAAGTCAAAATCTATTCATTTACACACACACAATGTAACATCAAAGTAGCATTTTAATCAACAGTTCATGTTTTTGTAAACCTGTTATGATATGTCCTAATATCATATATTGAGTTCAGTATCGTTCATCAAAACGAACAAATCTTTTTTCGAGTCACTTGATTCATTCAACGAATGACTCGATAAAAGATTTGTTCATTTTGATGAACGAGTTTGAGTCACGAACGCTCATCATAGAACAGAGCAAGGAGAGCATTTGAGCTTATAAAACTTAAACCTTTTTATTTATTTTTGGAATGAGCGATCGTTTCGCTTGATAAGACCCTTATTCATCGTCTAGAATCGTTTAAAGCCTTTTGAATCTGTCTTTTTGACCTTGAACCGTTTGGACCCCATTGAAATCCATTATATGGAGAAAATCCTGGAATGTTTTCATCAAAAACCTTCATTTCTTTTCGACTGAATAAAGAATGACATGGACATCGTGGATGACATGGGGGTGAGTAAATTATCAGCAAAAGTTTTTTTTAAAAGTGAACTACGCCTTTAAAATATAATAGCACATTATGTTGCTATTTCGGAGCTTGATAGCATGTGATCACTGTATGCTTTCATTGTACAGAAAACAAACGTGGAAGTTATGGAAGAAAGCAAGTCACATGGAGTCGTTTGGAAGGACATGATATGAGTAAATGACTCTGTTTGCATGCACGAACCTTGAAGGATGAGAATAACGGAAAAGAAAAAGAAGGGCATTGCAGCTGCTCCCGTAAACATCGCAAACCTGGCTTCATTTAGAGAGAAGATCAACAACTCGACAGAAGAACGCTGCTTTTGGAAACTACAGCCATTGGCCACCACAGTTGCTTTAAACACCAAGAACGTCTCACAAAAACATTTTACCTTTCAACTGGAGTCTAAAACCATTAGAACTTGCAGATGAGGCTTTCTCAAGGAGCTGCAAACACCTGCTTCTAATTTGGGCCGTTGAGGCACTATTTTCCTCTGGCCTGAGCTAAAACTAGAGGGCTGTTCAGCCAAGAGTTTGTCTAAAATGACTAACACTTTTACTCGGGTTATGTTGGCCCACACGTCAGCTGAGCGGAGAACACCAGAAGAAAAGTTAGTTGTGGTTAGCTGTAATGGAGGAATCAGTGAAGTGATAGGTTAGTGGGTGGCGGCGGATGAAAAGAACGTGAGAAAGAAGAGCGACGGAGCGACTGCTTTTCCTTACGGAGTCTCTCCACCTGCCTTGTGTTACTAAAAAGGATTCGGCTACTCATCGGCTGCCGTCGTGCCTCGTACGGATCCCTTTTGACGCATCTAGAAACAAAACATGCCGTTAGGTGCAATCTTTCCACTTACTGGCGTCGACCTGGAAGAAGAGTGTCAGGAAACGCCAGAACATAAAAGCATAATGCAGGTAGAAATGGCCACGTCATCATTTTTATAGCAATCAGAAGTCTATATATAATAAACTGGGATTTGAGAAAGTTTTCAGTTTTACAAAATTAAAAAAAAAAAAAAAAAAAAAAAAAACATAATAAAAAAATTATAATAATTATAATTTTCACCAGATCTTTTTCACTGTGACATTTTCATAGCAATAAAACAATACCTAAAAAAAAGCAACAAAAAATATGTTTTTTTTTAAAGTAATAAAAATTAAAATATAAATAAAACAAATTTCTAGTAATAACCATGCTGTGTGGGTAAAACCAACAACACAAATTAAGAACAACATTAAAATTGTACCTTAATGTAGATAAAATAAATGATAAATAAAATCTGAGATCTTATAAATATAATAAGATAACATTTATCATTTATTTTATAATTAATTAAAAAAGAGAATTAGGTTATTTTATATATATATATATGTGTATATAAAAGGCCTGTTGTGATTAATTGCATCCAAAATAAAAGTGTGTGTTTACATAATATATGTGGGTGCACTGTGTATAATTATTTATATATAATGCACATGCTTGTATATATTTAAGAAATATTTTCATGTATATACTGTATATAGATTTATATATAATTTATAGTATATATAAATATAAATATTTTATATATAAATAATATTTTTTCTTGAATATACAAGCATGTGTGTGTATTTATATATATACAAAATAATTATACACAAATGCACCCACACATATTATGTAAACACAAACTTTTATTTTGGATGCGGTTAATCGTTTGACAGCCCTAATATATACAAGTCAACATTTGAAGTGGATCAAAATTAGTTTTTTACTTTTTTACATTACAAGCTATTTATTATTGGGAAATGGCAACATTTTTGCATTTCAGAATTAAAAAAATATATATTAAAGGTACATAAATATGCTTAATTTTAGTGAGAAATATGATGTATTCATGTCCGTTTTCGTGACATTCACCTATATAACAGTTTAATGTCAGCGAAGAGGCACTGAATGGGTTAACGTTGACATAATCCTCACTGGAAATATATTCACCATCATTTCCATAAAAGAGGTTTTGAAAAAATATATACCCTGGAAGGTTTTTGTAAAGCACGGCAAAGCCAAAGCAAACTTGATTCGTCAAATATTAGTCCAAATACATACTTTCTGCTTGGCAGCCGTATAGCAGCTGTGTAAAAAACTGTTTGTTTAATATAAAGTTTTACTACATATACTGCTTGTTTTATAAATGCCAGCCTTAACAACTGAAGGCAATAACAGATGAACTGGTTAGGACCAAGATATAAGTCGTAACTTGACTGACGGGTTGACGGTTAAGGAATCGCTTTATTGGTCTTGGCCCAAACGTCGCTTGAGAATAAAACTAATAAGCGACTACGCCTTCGGGATTTGGATGAGGGTGTATTGATCGATATTTCCCAGGCAGTGAAGAGTTTGTGGTTTTCCTTGGCTGCATGCTGAAAGCGATCACAGAGCGTGTCAGAGTTTGGAGAGACTGCGTGCCGTTGGATCATCATTTTACTGGCTAGAGGAAAGAATCTGGGCCAAATACTATACACTTGAGTTGGGACGTGTTCAACAAAAACACAACTGAAAATAGAGAATACGTGAGCGCTGCCAGCAGTGACCAGCGGCTAAAAAAACCCAATATAGCTCAAATATGTAACCCCTTCAATAACATCCAGAAGCAGATTTATTACTATTTTAGGTCTACAATCAAATTATGACCCCTGGTGCTAATATCACAGGTACTAATGTTTTATTCCACATATAAACACCCAAGTTACGCAATAAAATCAGTCCAGATGTGCACTGTAGCCTGATGATGTCCAGGTTGTACACTTATAAGCTCAGTGTTTCCTGCAATAGCGCACTAACCAGTTGCTATTTATCTTGTAGTCAGAATTTAATAACAAAAGACTGCAAATAAAATAAAAGCCCTCTATTGCAATGATGAAGCAACGGCATCCGACTAGCATTTTAAATTGTCTAATCAGTTGTAAAGGTAAATGACAAAATAACATTCACTCACTGGACACATAATGCCATTTTTTGTGGAAAGTCGTTATTTTTTAAATGAGTTGTAATTTTCTTTAGTTTGAGATGGGGCTGCACGATTTATCGAATTTTAATCACAATCACGATTTTGGCTTCCCACGATCAAATTCGTGTGATCGAGAGATATTTAAAATGCGTCGATCCGTTCACAGAACGCTCCGTTTCAAAGGGTTTTTTTTTGCAAAGCCAATCTAGCGCTCCATAAACCACTGTCTGATCACGTGCCTCCATGAGCCCTAGTGCGCGAGAGACCTTCTGCGCACGAGCGAGACCGAGTGTGTGCGCGTGCGCAAGCGAGACCGAGCGTGTGCACGTGCGAGCGAGGCCGAGTGTGAGCGACATTACACGAAAGAGACGAAAGTGTGCGAGAGATACCGTGTGTGTGTGTGTTTCGGTAAATAAAAAAATATTTAATTTATTTACTGAAAGCTAAAGCTTGGTAATTAAGTTTATTAACCCTTTCACACGTAAGTTTAAAATATTCTAACTGACCCCCCAGCGTGAGTTTTTCAAGGCGACCGTTATTTAGAACTTGCCACTTTAATGTTTCCATGGTGACGCGTCATTGCTTGTCACGTGACACAGCACAACCAAAACACGGCGCTGAATGAATTATGATCTGCTTTTGTGTCATTTTTCCTTTTTTGTTAAAAATATTCATAAATGTATTAGCTATAGCATGAAACACTGATATTTCGATTGTCAAACATGTGCAAGTGGATGGGTTTGACATTGTTTAAACATCTTTATAACGATCGCGTTAGTTTCGCTGTATGCACAACGGGCGGCGCCATTTTAGTTTCTTTTTCAGTTCAGAGAATCAGATCTGTTGGATTTACAACATCAATTCCTCCACTTTTACGAAATACATGATAGTAAGTGGCTGGTGAACTGGGAGAAGAATAGGGTCAAATGTAAAGCTACTTACACAATGTGCATCTGATATGAATAAAACGTGTTGTCTTATTATAACTGAAAGGATTATTGCCGCTTCCATAGACATCAGTGTGTATTTTACAAACTCAAAATCATTGTTTTGCTAGTACATATGTGTATTTAAATGTCTGAAACCTAAAATAAACATTCAAAACAATCAATAGTTGTGTTATATGACAGCTCTGAGTGCGTCCGTCTCTGGCTGAGCGCCAGCCAGCGCGCGAGAGCAAGTTTGAATTTAACAGTTGCTGACGTGAAGCACTGAACGTTCCAATCACACCGGTGTGATCGTACGCTCCAGGGACCAGCCAAGAAGACTGAGCACACTGGTACGTGCGAAAAAGCGACGATTTTGTAAACACTTGCCTAGTTTAGGTCATCTTTTCGCAGACCACTAGGGGGCGACGGCGGACCACACTTTAAGAATTACTGGTTTAAATCAACAAATAATCGTCAAAATATTGATCAAAATAATCATGATTATCATTTTGGCCCAAATCGTGCAGCCCTAGTTTGAGAGCTTTGTGACACTTATATGAATATTATATTCTTTTGCAATTCCATTTTGAGACACTAGAGGCACATCAATCACAGCCTACACCTTTAAAGAGTAGCGAAACACTAAACCAACTTTTTTTAGCTAATGATCTGTAAGAATGGATCTTTATTAATACCAGTCATTGATTCGAGTAACTTTTTGGACATTTGTTTATAAAGTGTTCTATTTCTACAATATATGGTGTAAAAACGTCTTAGTGCTGCCCTCTTCAGGTTGAACGGTGGCTACTGCAGTTGAATTCTCCTATTGGATGTTCCGCACTTCAGCTCACCACGCGAGCTACGCCCCTGGCAGTATAAAAAGCATCTTGTGTCGTCAAAACCACTGTAACGAGTCAGGGATTGGAATTGTGAGTATTGAAAACGACCAGGATAGAGTGTTTTAGCATCTATTTCGTCCCCTCTATCTCCGCTGGGGTCAGCCCACTTTTTCAGCATTTTCAAATATTGCCAGTGGGTGGAGTCAGGCTCTGACCAGGGGGTTAGTTACCCTTTCAAGACATGTGATTAATGTGATCGTTATTATATTGGCCTTCTATTTTATTGCTTGTTTAGTTTTTACTGCCTAGACTGTTGTGTACCTTTCTAATTCTATTTATTTTTTATGTAAAGTGCTTCGAGATGCTACTTTAAAGGCATAAAATAAAGTTTATATTCATGAATAAGCCGAAACGTGGAAAGAATAGCGTTTTATGATCTGAACCGCTGGGAATGAGGAGGTCTGCCATGGATGGGTGGGAGCAAATGCAATGGAGGAAACTATACGTGCTTCAGCCCGTAATGCCCTGCTCACCTCTTCCAGCTCTCGCTGCGTCTGCTCCTCCATCCTGCGGATGTCTGCCATGGTGAGCTCCACCCAGCTGTCGATCCAGCAGAAGAGCTGACGGTGGAAGTTGGTGAAGATTCTCTTCTCTTGCTGCAAACGCAGACAAAAAAGTCTGTTATTGAAAAACATTGTGAGATTGGAAGAATACAGAGGGAATTATCAAAATCACTGACACATCTCAAATCTCATTGAGATGCGTCACTCCGGGTTTAATGTCAATGAGAAGACGCATAAGGAACAAATGCTTGTTACAATTAACGTCAAATTTGATGTGTGTCGATTGTTACCTTGTGGATGAAGTTTTCTATTTTGGTTTGAAGGCCCCACCACTTGAACTTGACAGTGACTAGTTTGTACGCACACATACGAGGGGCGTCTGGCTTGGCCAACAGCTCTTTCTGTTCAGGGAGAAATCACACAAGATCTTCATATAGAACAGAGTTGATAGGGAACTAATAATAAATGTCTGATAAATTAATTAAATAGAGCCACTCACTTTCCAGTCCGGTCCTAAAGGTCCTCGGCCGGTTTTCTCTGATTGAAAGATGGCTGGGTCCTCATCTTGTTTATAATCCTGAGAGAATGACAATTTGGATCACTTATATTTCCTTCATGGTTCATATTTCTCCACACTGCCCTGGTTAAGTTGGCGTAAAAGTAATTTCAGACATGGATATTCAAATTTGGTGAAACGCTGTAAATTATTACCAATTAATTGTGCAAAACAAGACCAGGGACATGATTTTTTTTTTCCATGTTATCTCTATGGTCAACCACTTTCAGTGATAATTGGCAAAAAGGTTCCCAAATGTCACTAGATGGCGTAATGCACTAATTAGCATTATGACATCACGTCGTATTTGCTTGCTCCTTCACGTCAGGCCTTAAGTTAAAGGAGTAGTTCACTTATAAAAAAACTTTTGCTGATAATTTACTCACCCCTAAATTTGTCAAAGATGTCATCCAAGATGTCCATGTCTTTCTTCAGTCGAAAAGAAATAAAGGTTTTTGATGAAAATATTCCAGGATTTTCTCCATATAATGGACTTCAATGGGGACCAAACAGTTCAAGGTCCAAAAGACAGTTTCAGTGCAAACTGTTCAAAGGGCTTTAAACGATTCCAGACGATGAATAAGGGTCTTGTCAAGTGAAACGATCACTCATTTAAAAAAAAAATAAAGTTGAAGTTTTATAAGCTCAAATGCTCACCTTGCTCTGTTCTATGATGCGCACTTGTGACTCTCCTGTTCGAACTTGTTAATCAAAATGAACGAATCTTTTCCCGAGTCAATTCGTTCCGTTCATTCATTGAATGTACCAAATGACACGAAAAAAGATTCGTTCATTTTGATGAACGAGTTCAAACAGGAGAGTCACGAACGTGCATCACAGAACAGAGCAAGGCGAGCATTTGTGCTTATAAAACCTAAACTTTTTTTTTTTTTTTAATTAAGGCGATCGTTTCGCTTATTCATCGTCTGGAATCGTTTAAAGCCCTTCGAACAGTTTGCACTGAAACTCTTATTTGGACCTTGAACCGTTTGGACCCCATTGACGTCCACTATATGGAGAAAATCCTGGACTGTTTTCATCAAAACCTTAATTTTTTTTTCGACTGAAGAAAGAATGACATGGACATTTCAGATGACATGGGGGCGAGTAAATTATCAGCAAATGTTTTTTTTTTTTTAAAGTGCACTACTCCTTTAAAGCACAAGTTATATTATATTTAACACGGTCAAATGTTTTTTTTTTGTAAGTCTCTTCTGAACATTTATTCATGGATTTATGTGATCAAAAATACAGTAAAAATAGTAATATTTTTTTTTTTTATATCTTCATATGTGAATATATAGTAAAGTGTAATTTATTCCTGTGATCAAAGCTCCAGTCTTCAGTGTCACATGATCCTTCAGAAATCACTCTAATATGATGATTTGCTGCAATCATTTATGATTATCATATCAATGTTGCCATTTTTTTGGAGGGAAAAATCATAATACAAGGACACATTAAATTGTTAATTTTCTATTCAGCTAAGAATTCTGAAATAAATAAATAAAAAAATCAACAAGTTTCCAACACTGAATTTTAACAATATAAATAAATGTTTCTAGAGCAGAAAATACGCATATTAGAAGAGTTCCTGAAGCATCATGTGACACTGAAGACTGGAGCAATGATGCTGAACAGTAGCTAAATGTGTCTGCAACAAAATTATATCTTAAAAATCACCATCAGTTTGGGAATTCCCACCATTTCCATCTTTTTGCACATACTCGCACTCTACCTTCTAATCTCTCAAACCTCGGGGCTAAGTACCGTGAACATATGGGAATACGGATTAACCCTAACCAGGACTGATCCACTTAACTAATTAAAGATACGAAGCATAAAAGTGTTTAGGCATGAGAAGAGCAGTCCCTCCAGCGGCCCTCTACAGGTCAGATAACCTGTACACTCCTGATAGGCAACACTGGACTCAGAGCCAGAATGAGGTCTAATGGAAACGTATTTGGATTTATTCAAAGCTGCTGATGTTCGATGCGACACGTGTCTGCTAGGCAGCCGGTTTGTTTGTTCTCGAGGCTTGAGTTTTACGTCTTTACCAGTTTGTGGAGTACATCTGCTGCTTAGAGAAGCTTGATAACTATTGATAAGGAGCCTTCTTGGTAAACTAGTGAACCTCGAGTAAAGCAGGTCAGAAGGGCAATGGTCCACACAATAATGTCACGTCACCCTAATCCAGTCTTATGCAACACACCGGCTACAGGCTGAATCACGAATCACACACTAGCCAGCCTAAATCCAGCACGTGGGATAAGGATTAGCAAATCCCAAATCACAGCACACTGAAAGTTTCAAAGTACACGTCAGAGGCACACGTTTGAGGCTCATGATGCCTAAATAAAGACGGAGAAATCCATGACGTTTTTGTATGAACCTAATGAATAATTTGTTTAATTCAGATATGCTCTCACACTTCCAAGCAAAAACAGGGGGTCTACGGTATCAAGATAATTTTATAATATATAGTATAATAGTATTATTTAGCTAGATATGAGTATGTGCTTTCCCATTACCAGCAAAGTATATATAGTACCGCTGAAAGTTTTTGAGAGATGTCTCTTCTGCTCACCAAGGCTGCATATATTTGATCAAAAATACAGTAATATTGTGAAATATTATTACAATTTAAAATAACTGTCTTCTATGTGAATATATAGTAAGCTGTAATATATTCCTGTGATCAAAGCTGAATTTTCAGTCACATGATCCCTCAGAAATCACTCTAATACGATGATTTGCTGCTCAAGAAACATCTCTGATTGTTATCAATGTTGAGAACATTGGGATATTACATAAAACTAATCAAAAAAAACTAAAAAAAAACTCTACTTTAAGGATGAAAGAGACTAGTGACCGACATATACACCGGATTTGGCCAGTTTGAGACGATCTGTATCAGTCATTAACAAGAACACAATGGTCGACCACTAAAAGAACTTCAAATAATTCCAGGCCTTTTATCTAAAAGTGACTTTTAAAAGAGGAACATCACATGCAATTAGCCAACACCAAAGTTCAAATGTGAAAACACCATACTGCATTTGCTTCAGGAGGAGTGATTATGCAAATAAAAGTTAAAACTGGTCTGGGTTATAAATCATACTTGTCTATCTATATTGTATATCTATAGCCTATTTTTGAGTGCCATGTGACCACGGGATGTCCGGAGGGATGGACTATTAGCATTATATTCAAAGTGGGTAATGTTACCACAAAGATCATGCAAACAATGCAAAGCGTTTCAAGATCAACTCACTGCAGGTTCAACCTGAGACCTATCAGCTATATCGATATGCACGACCTCCACTGTCTTCCATGTGGTTGGGTCCAGGTCATGTACCTGATAATGGGCATAAACAAACACCAAAAACATATCAGCCTGGGTATAATGTTACAGATGCATTCAAAACATCAAATCACAAAGAAACGTCTTACTCACATTCTCTAAAGAGCCCGTGTCAGGTTTGTGCCACGTTTCTATTTTAATCATGAAATCATCTTTCATGTATTCGTTCTGAGGAGAAGATGCATGTTTATGTTCAGGTTTTGTCACAAACGGCAGCGTGACTTCACTTAAAACTGTGGTTTAGAAGTGCATGCAATGCAAATATCACATCTGATGGCAGTGCATGTTAACTTCAGAGCGTGTGCTTTTAAGCTGGAGGGACTATATGATTTACTCCACGTTCTACAGGTAAACTGGTGTTAAGATTGGTGGATAGATTTAGACAATTATACCACACTTAGGAGTAGGGATGGGCAACGATTAATCACATCCAAAGTAAAAGTTTGTGTTTACATAATATATGTGTGTGTAGTGTGTATAATTAATTTGTATATATAAATACCCACACATGCATGTATATATTTAAGAAATATGTGCATGTTTATATTTTATATATATATTTATTTATTCACAATTAATATTATATATAAATATAAATATTTGATATATTAACACATTTTTCTTAAATATATACATGCATGTGAGGGTATTTATATATACAAATTAATTATACACACTACACACACATATATTATGTAAACACAAACTTTTATTTTGGATGCGATTAATCGTGATTAATCGTTGCCCATCCCTACTTAGGAGTATAAATGTAACCACATGCAATGACAATTATAATTTATCAAAAAGACAGACAGCAAAACATTTGACACAAACTAGTTTGAAATGATAAACAATAAAACGAAGACTTTTCTATTAAATTCAATGTGTAAATGAGTTTAGTGTAAACTAGTCACAATGACGGCAAGTTTTTGTACTTACAGTCACAACTGAAGAGAATGGAGCAGCATGCAAAAATAAAAGAAGAAAAATAATCAGGTGACACAGAAAACATTCATATTTCCACTGTCAAAACAGACCAGCACAAATGACTAAGGCCTAAAACATACTCTGAATACATAAACGCAAACCATTACAGAGTGCAACAGTCGAGTTCTGGAAGGAAAAACTCAAGAAACTTTAACAATAACTTAAAGGCCTGTTCACATCGGGACGAATTTCACACACGTTATTCGTCGACGTCTAACGAAGGGTGCAAATGTGAGTGTGCACACCGACACGTAAAAGCGTCATTTAAAAAAAAAAAAAAAATGCCTCGGGTTCGTTTTTATTAGTTTGACGCGCTGCGTCAAAAGATATCCGACCAACAGTGTTAGGTAAGTTACTCTAAAAAAAGTAATTAATTACTAGTTACTAATTACCTCTTCAACAGTGTAATTAGATTACTGTACTAAATACTTTCTCTAAAAATTATTTAATTACTAATTACTTTCAAATTCCCATATCAATCTCAACCAGCTGAATCGTACAAGTATATACAGCTGTTTTAATTCTTTCAAATAAATACTATAAAACTGCATGAATTATCCTTAAACTGACCAAGGTGGAGAAGGTTACATTATAAAAACATACTTTTTAACATCAGACAATACATTTTGATGGGATTGAACCCACTATTGTTTTATGTCTGATCTCATGACATTTCACACTTTTTTCATACATATTTTACAATAATTCATACGAATTTGTACGAGTGCGGTCGTACCTCATAAAATGCATACGAATCTCTGTGAGATCGGATTGATCTATACACAGTATTTACCTCAACTACATCAGAAGTAACTGTAATTAAATTACAGATAAATGAAGAGTAATCCCTTACTTTAGATTTTCAAGGGAAAAGTAATTAAATTACAGTAACTAATTAGTTACACCCAACACTGCCGACCAATGAGATTGGCGCTTTTGCTAACGCGTTTGGAGCTTCTGAAGTTACAGTAAAACACAACTTGGGGGCGCTCAAACACAAAACGGTCTTGCCGAGCACACATACGGAACGGAGAAGAAGAGTTACGCCAAGTAGCGTCGCCGTCTACACTGCCAGGAAGAAACATAGTTGGGAAGAAATAAGACGAGGAAGATGCGAGGCAAGATGAATGTAGAGCTGCTGTTCTCGTTGGTGTTAAAACATAAAGAACTATATGACAAACGCGACTGTGACTACAAACATCTTGATAAAAGAGAACTGATATAGAGTGGTATTGCAGAGCAAATTGGCGCCATCTAATGTCAGGGAATGAATTTGCATGTTCACTCGGCTCATCGTCAGCGAAAATCGCTTGGGTGTGAACACAAAAAACGCATTGAAAAACGCTGACGAATAGCGTGTGTTTATATGTACGGGCCTTAAAGCTTAAACAATAAACCTTTAAAGACAGCCCTACTGTGAACTACGAGCTTGTTTATTAACAGTATTTGCTTCAGTTGAAGCCGCCAGCCCACATTATTTAAACTTGTTTTAGAACAGTGGAATTCGTGGTGAAAAACTACATTACCCATGATGCTGTACATAGAATTCCACCAATCAGAGTCAAGACAAGCAAAATGCATCAAAAGAGCTCTTTAGCTCCGCCCACTCCACTGAAGCACTGCGACTATATAGAGTAATAGAGTTTGGTTTCCCTTTGCTCTCAAAATACTTCAAATAGATAAACATTTTTAAATGAGTAGATTTATTTTTCTCCATTTTTAATTTCATAATGCTGTTTGCAATGCTTTATGGGATTGTAGTCCTTTCCCCTCACTAAAGCCCAGTGCTTTCTTTTCAAATGCTTTTTTTGCTTCAAACTTTGTAGTAATGTGCTTGACCTCAGAGCCGATTGCCTAGATTCATGGCTCATAATGCTTTAAAGAAATACTTTTGTTAAATCCCTATGGGAGAAATGAACGGAAATAATATTTCTGGAACCAACGCGGCTGAAAAAGTGGGCACTAATGCACTTTATAGCAAGAAAATCAGATCGTATAGCAACTCAAGAAGACATAAACTCTTTCAGGTCGGCGGAGAGATGTTTAGCTAACATTTTTAAATGTTTATAGCAAGCTACCTGAATAACAATAACCTGCGTGAGTATGTTTTTGGCCTAATTCTTCACAAATGTGAGAACTTCATGAAACAATTAAAAACATTGTATATGCATGACATCGGTCCCAATATGTAATTCATTACATATTGCCATATGCAATAAAAACATGACAGTGACGGATTGTGCAGTATAACGGATGAAAAGGATTTCCACTCACTCGTGCGGCAGTATGGATACGCATTCCAGGCCTTTTCATGGAAAACTAACGCCCCCTCTGGTGCGATCATCTTCACAAAGCCTGGCACTTTACTGGACGGACACAAAACACAAAAGCACTGAAGCAAAGCCAGAAGAATTATTCACAGCTTTGCGTGAAGTTGAACGGTTTGTCATATAATGCAAAACACTTGAGATGTGTCACATCTGTCCTTAGGATAAAAATCAGTAATTAAAAGTGGAAAAAAAATCAGTAACACTTAAAGCTTTTATGTATAATGCTTTCTAAAGGTATTCATAATGTACGTTATAATGCATTATCATACATGCAGTCCTTGTTACATCTGAAATGTGTTGTAATGCATTAAATGTGTAATAGAAAAGTATTATTATGTATTAGAACAAATATTCATGAAACCATACAATGCATTATAATGTGCACTGCAAGGCATTCTTAATGCATTAAAAATAATTTTATAATGCATTATAAAAAGCTTTTAACCCTAAAACCGTATTCTGGACAAATGTGGGCAAAATAGTTTTGATTTATTTAAAAAAAAAATACTTCGCTTGATCTGAGCGGTACAAGACTTGGCTACTTTTCCTAAGTTTGCCTCCTGAACACACAATTTTTTGACTCAATTCTACAATGTTAAGTGGGTGAAAAAAAACCCCTCCTTAATCTTGTATTTGGGTCAAAAATGGGCACCCATAGAAATGAATGGGAAAACTGTATTTTAGAGCATTCTAAAATAAGCCAAAATAAGACAGCAAAGTCGCTTCATCTTTAGGTTTCAGCACTAAGAACTTATTGGAATGATGTTTTAATGTAGTTAAAAAAAATTAAAAAAAATAAAACATATAAGCAAGCCTAATTTACATGGAAAATATGGTACTTTTTGGAGTAAATAAATTCAAATATACCCCCAAAATAAACAAAAACACCATTAATGGATAGACAAAACTTTATCGAAGACTTAAAACTTTATCGAAGGATCACACCTTAGTCCTCTGTGCCCACATTTGTCCACAATTACAGGATTAAGGGCTATAAAGTGAATACGGTTTGAGGGCTACGTGTTTTAAAAAAATGACTTGACTATATTATTAAAGTTTGCTGATCTACAGAATAAAACATAAGCTGCTGACTTTGTTTTACCTCTTTAAGTGGTAAATTTTGTGTGTGTATTGTCCCTTCTCGCCCTCCTCCTCGTACGGTTCGTTCTTCAGCACTTCAATGCCCTCTCCGCCACCCGTCTCGTTTTTACTGGCCTCAGCCACCGAGAAAAGCTGCCCGACTTGATACTGCAATGGCAGAGAGCAGAGAAACAGGTCAGAGAGTACAGATGACCAGTGCATAAGCACACTTAAAGAGGACCGGTTATGTACTTTTACAAAGTCTTGATGTGGTTTAAAATAATAATATTTTTCCATATTCTCCATTGTCCAGTCCCTTTACCATAACCAGCCATTTAACACACTACTAACTCACTAAACCAGGCCCCGCCCCTTTATTCTGCATATGAATTATTTAAATGAGGAATATTGTGACGTGTTCGTTCCCGGAAGAAACTCAAGATACAATGAAGGCGTTTCAGCAGTTCAAAAACACTGACACTGATATAGAGAAGAACTTTGCAAAGCTTTTTCATGATCAAACAGCAACATTACACACTAAAGAAAAATGAACATTGAAAAAAGCAAAATAAGTCCCCCTTAAAGTCAATACCAAATCAAAGATGACTGAAATTAAAACCATGAAAATATTTCCATTACTTAAAATAAAATATAAAAGAACTTTTTGCCAAGGCAACATCCAATTTTCCCTTATTTTAACTTGATGTACTAAACTAAATAAAAATAGTACTAAACAGAAGTAAAAATTAATAGTAAATATACAGACAAAGATGAAACTTTGTCTAAAAAAAATTAGACTAATTTAGATAACAAAACCACAACATAACTAGTAAACTTTGAAAATATAAAAATGAAAACTAATTCATAAAATTAATCTAAAATCTCAACTAAAATAACACTTAGATGGATAAATCACTTACTAAAATAGCCCTTGTCTTTGAGGTCATCTACATGCTACAGTAGTACACTCCTAAAAAGTCCACTCGGAAAAAACATTTTAATATCAAGAGAAGTTTTTTTTTTTTTTTGTGTGAAATCTTACCTGGTAAAATAAGGAAAACATCATAATCAAAGAGAAACTAGCAGTCTTACATGCATGAAAACACAAAGCCTACAGACTTCCTATAGGAAACACTAGATCAGCATCTGGGGAATTAAACGGCTCTCGTATAATTAAAATGTGTGCCTTCCAGCAGTTTCACATATTAAGACAAAACTCTGCATTGTGTGACTGATTGATGCCTTAGAGGGACATTATGGCAAAACCAGTTTAACAAAGGCAAACAGTGAACGTGCATGAATAGTTATTCATATTTATGTAAATTAATAGTTATGTCCACTTAATCTTCAATATTTGGCCACTTCTTTAAGATAAAAATGCTACAGCTACTGTAATTTCTTGAACGAGTATGTGTGAACATGGGTTTAAAATGTTGCTTTAGAAAAAAGGACTAATAATGCCGTTCGTGGATTCTCAGTATTTCTCGGTTAATCAACAAGAAAAGGTTCTAGAAATCATTTATTAGGAGCTTTTAAGGGTTCCAATTCATTGCATCCTTTTATGGATTAAGTTTTTAATTAATTTTAATATAAATTGTATGAATTAAACAGACTTTATCACTAGAAAAACAGTGAATAAACATTATGAAAGTATTACACCGTGTCCTGACTACACGCGACACAATAAAATTCCAGAGCAAGTGTGTCTGTCCACACTAGACGCGACACGTCAATCAAAAATCACAGCCATTCAGAACAGCGTGTGGGCGGAGTCTCTCTGTGAAAGTGCACTTCTGGCCCGCACTCGCATCGGAAATGGGTAAGGACTTAATCAAATCAAGAAATAACATGATTAAAAATCAGAACATTAACAAAATATACTCATTGACTCATTTTGTTATGAAGTACAGTTTTATGTTTGCACAGAATTCATTTTGAACGCTATATTATATGCTTTCAAAATCTGAGGTAAATTATCCGTTATCGCTTGTGGCACAGTGACCTAACGCCTTTGAACTTCGACAATCAGTTCCTCGTCGTCCATGTTTGATGATTAAATATTCATGACATGCAGAACTTCCATCCAATGAGATCTCTGTGTGGGCGGATCCGTCGCAGAAATAGGAACCGGTGTTCTGACAATTCATGCTACCCATCGAGATTTCCTACTTACCGGTTATGCGCATGTGCAGACTCACAGTTTTTTTTGTTTTGTTTTTTACAAAAGGTACATTTTCATGTTATAATGTATAATTTCCCTTTAAAAAAATGCTTACTACCATATGAATATTTGTACGGTCAGCCAGCTGAAAAGGAAAAACTGAAAGTTTCAGTTACTATAAGAAAAGGTGTACTTTGACAAGTCAAAGAGGAATATTTTATGGTAATTTTTACTTTTCACACCGTTTTAAAAATAAAAACAGTAGTCTACAGTAGCTACTCATAACTTAGAATTGTATTAGAATTGTATTTCATACGACTTTAATCGGCATTCTGTGATCAATTCGCGCTACGGTAGCATTTTTCGACAAGGCAGCAAAAATCGACAGAACACCGTATCTAAATTAGAAACTTTGCGTGTCGCTGTCGCATCTGGTTAGGACAAAAACTCTGATTAACATGGAAAAGATACCTTTTATCGCGTGTCGCGGCGTCGCGTCGCATGTAGTTAGGACACGTGTTATGCATAACTTAGGGAATTTCTATTTAGGGAGTAAAACTGGGAGTTGTGAAAAATATGATACACTGGTGTTTTACCAGATGAGACGTTTATCTATGCATCATCTTTTTATTTGTTTCATAACTGTATCATACATCTCTTTTAATTTCTTTTAGAACTGTTTTAATTTTCCTTGCTTTTTTTTTTGTGATTATTTGAATTCTTTCAGTAAAGCACTTTGAATTGTCACAGTGTATGAAATGTGCTTGCCTTGCCTTATATAGAACCTTTTTGCATTGAGGGTTCTTTAAACTTGAGTCTAGTGTTCTATATAGAACCATTGAAGCTTTCTAATCCGGGTGAGACCCTCACTGTGTTTTGGAACAGAGCCCTAGAGTGTGTGTTTTTGAAAGAAGATCTGGTATCTGTGCATCATATCTGAACGCTTCTGAAACTGGAATCAGTCTGCTTGACAGCTGTCAGGCTGCAGGAGGACTTCACACAAGTTTTCTGACTGCAGAGTGCTATGAATCGACGGCATCCTAAATGCAAAATATCAAACAATGTCAATCAAGCAAACATCAAGCACGCTTCTCTCAAAAGCACGCGAGACTCAAGCGTTCCCCGAGGGCGCCGGTGTTCTACATGCACGACAAGCTTTATCTTGTCCATGTTGCTCTGATCACATCCTGGCCAGGCCAGCTCAAAGCGCTGAGGTTTTACGCGATTGTCTGTTGTACTGATGCAGCTAATGAAAAACATTAGGAAACAAGGCTTGGGTTTTCAAGGTTAAAGTGACACTGTGCACTTCCAGTCAATGTTTAACTTATCAGAAGCTGAGGAAGTGTGAAAAATAAAAAATGCTGTACTCACCTCTTCCACCGAGCATGGCAAGACCACACGACTGAAAGAAGAGAAAACGTGCACGTTACACACACAAAGATACAAAAGAAAAAGACATTTTTTTCAGTTTAGTTACTTTATACAATTTCTAACTTTGTCAATAAATGTAATTGATATTTTGAATATTTGCTTATTTTCATGTATATATTTTTTAAGCTATATTTTAAAAGTGTATATACTTGTGAAAAATACATATTTTATAAAGGTATAAATAAATACTTATTTGTATAGATTTAAAATACAACAACAAATAAATATTTTTAATTTTCATATATATATATATATATATATTTATTAAATTAAAATAGTATTATTAAGTATTTTTTGCTTATTTATAAATACATTTAATTATAACACATTTATTTATAATTTTTTTTCATAAATATATATATATTAAAATTGTAATATTATAAAACAAAATTTTGATATATATATATATATATATATATATATATATATATATATATAATTAAATGCAAGTCACATAACAGCTGTTTAAATTAAACAATTTCTAATGAAACAAATTTTGTAATGAAACAAATTAATCAGCCTGGCTGATATATATCAGTGTATATTTATATATACCAATATAAAAGATATAAATAAATACTTATTTGAAGTTTTATAAATATAACAACAAATAAATATTTATAATTTTCATATATATATATATATATATATATATATAAAATTAAAATAGTATTATAAAGTATTTTTTGCATATTTATAAATTAATTTAATAATAATACATTTATTTATACATTTCTTCATAAATATTATATATAAATAAGTAATATTATAAAAAAAATCTTTGCGTGCATATATATATATATATATATATATATATATATAATAAACATAGATTATTTATAAAACAAATGTGTATATATATATATATGTATAATTAAAAGCAAGTCATAACAGCTGTTTAAATTAAACAATTTCTACTAAAACAAATTTGATTCATTTGTTAATAGGCCAATGTTGATATTCTCTAAATGTGTAAATATCAGATAATTATTCAGCCTGGCTGATATATATCATCAGTCTATTACTAGTAGTAAACAAGCAATTTCGTCAACTAACGATAATTCCAATATTCAGAAACATACATAATACACAGTTTTTTTAACGGGATGGACACTATTACAGGAAAGTAGAGCACGTAAGTGGGGGCGAGAGAGGGGAAATGATCCAGTTCAGACTCAACCCTGGTTTCCTGAGAGCCAACAGCTCTTTATACCCCACTGTGGTCAACAAACAAGCACTAATAACCAGCCTGGACGACGATATAATGGTTTATTACACGTAATGTTACTTAGTTCTAAATGTAACTCAAGCTATTATGCAGTTTTACCAATAAAACATAACTTTTACTGTATAAAACAACCATATTCAAGTCTACAGCTCATCTCGAGTGCTCACATATAATGTTTACGAAAGTTGTGTAAGAAAAGAAACTAAATCACCAACCATTCATCCATGACCATCCATCTATTACAGTAGTAAAGCCCCATCAATCCCTGATCTATGAAGAAATAATCAATCTACAGAGATGCAAACACTGCAGAAACAGGGTCAATACAACACCAGCATGCATAATAAACAGGCTACACATGTTTTATAGGAAAACATACATCAGTTTCTACATTACTCATTTCCTCAATACGGAAACTCCCCTGAAAACCTCAAGAGGTCGAAATGCTCTTAGTCGCGGCGCTGAGTCAGTCTTACAACAGACTGAGTGTTACACGGGACATCTACCGCCTGATCCAGAATCTGCGATTTCACCAATCCTAGAAGATCATTACAAATCACACTGTATGACACGGATCTAATAAACTTGGGTACAACTCTTCGATGATGACACCTTTTGAATCGTAGGCTTCGACGCAAGTTAGTATAGACGAATAAAACGTCACAACATATATTATAGACAACAATAGAGCAAGATGAATTGCACTTTATCAACTGTAGTTTGTATGTGCGTTGAAAAAAAGAGGAAATGAAAGAGGAGATTATGGATGCTGTCATGGCAAGGAAAAAGAGGCCAAATTGGCTATATTTGTAAAATTGAGGTAATAGTTTTAAGTTTTATTGCTATGTCATGTTGCATTTTTATTGGCTAGTCAGTAGACGTAGGTCGTAGCAGCAAACACACTGATCATGCTAGATCTCGGACACTGTCCGGAGGGTTTTCTGGAACAAAAGCCACGCACACCTGTTGCATTGCAGCTTCATGTGACGTGAGGATCGCTCAAATTTGCATGCTCTTGCAAACCTAAAGGGTGGATACTTTGAACCTTCAGAGAAGGTTAAAAAGGTGCTGGATTTCATAAGGTGGCACATCGTGACATAATCTTGATCCAATCTCTCTCAGATTAAAGGCTATTGTTTATTAAAGGCATATTAACTCTTTCCCCGCCAAACACGGAATTTTCCGTGTTTAATGAAAAAACGCATCTGCGCCAAACACGGAATTTTCCGGGTATCCGTGTTTTAGGTGGTATACGGTAAGGAAGACCCGCGCGCATGTCCTGAATGATTGCGCAACTCTTTGTTTAGAGAAACAGATTGCAATCGTCTCAAACAGTGGAGTAGTGAGAATGTATCAGACAGACAATGCAGAGGTATATGGCTGAAGTACTGGAGGTTAATGGACTCGGAGTCCGATCACTCTTTATTTGATAATTCTGAATCTGATCGGGACGAAGTAGTCAGTGAGAGAGATGCACATGTTCATGCTAGCCATGGACGTGCCGCAGATAGATCGTATAATATTATGACACTATAATATGTATGTGTGTGTGCAGGCATTTATGTGTGGCTGTCTAAATATGAAGGTGTAATTGTCAAATTATTTCTCTCTTTGTGCACATTTACCACATTGTAATATGTATTTGTGTGTGTGTGTGTGTGTGTGTGTGTGTGTGTCTAGGCCTGTTTATTGTAATTCCAATCATTATTCACAGGTAGAACACAGAGAGGCAGAGGCAGAAGTTTTATTGCAAAAGTTACATTTCCCTTACATCCTGGGAAATTTGATATATTTTACATTTATTTTATGTTTTTAATTTATTTTGGAAAGTTTTATATATGAAGGAAACAACATCTGAATGTATTCTGCTTTTAAATGCACTTGTTTGATAAAAATCCCTTTTTCTCAGTTTTTTGTCCAAAATGTTGTGTTTTTGACAAAACCTACCTCTGTTCAAGAGGCAATAAAAAAAGAACAGATGAAGATAAAATAAAAACGTTTTTTTTGCCTAAAAGCAGAGGCTCAGATCTTTATTTTTATATATATCATCTTCATATATTCATGGAAGAAAATATTCAGCGGGGGCATTCAAATTTAGCGAAAATCGTCAAAAACCCTGGCGGTGGCTGGCAACTTTTTTTTAAAACGCTGGCGGGGAAAGAGTTAAAGGCGACTGTTTTCAAGCATGGCCTGTCCAACAGATGAGAACCTAATTAAAATGTGATAACTAGATCCCTAGAGAGCAGAAAGATAAAACCTGAAAGGAAACAAGAACAGGTTGGAAATGAATGACTGCGGGCCCTTTAAAACTGGGGTCACCTGTCAAATTGACGTTTAAGCCCAATTTGGATGCATTCAAGAATGTCTAAAACAGAATGTACCAATAAAAGAAAAAAATAAGTCACACGAGTAAATATAGTTAGATTAAGTGGTTAATAAGGCGAACAGTCACACGAGTAAATATAGTTAGATTAAGTGGTTAATAAGGCGAACTAAACGTGCAAGGTCAAGCCAGTTTAATCATTAATAAACACTATTCAACTATATAGACCAACCTGCTGCCATTAACTGGTTTTAAAACTTGAACTTTAAAGGGATAATTCACCCAAAAATAATAATCTGAAAATAAACAAGTTGTTCCAAACCTGTATGAGTTTCTTTCTTTTGCTGAACACAAAAGAAGATATTTTAAAGAATGTCTGTAATCGAACAGTAGATGACTCCATTGACTTCCATAGTATTTTTCCTACTATGAAAGTCAATGGGGTCCATCAACTGTCTGATTGCCCATATTATTCAAATATTTTCTTTTGTGTTCAATTAATATAGGAAACTCATTCTTGAGAGTAAGTGATGACAAAGTAACAAATATTTAGGGTGAACTGCCCCTTTAAGTGTCTCTGTCCATTTAAAAGCTAAACTAAGTTATTAACACCTACATTTGCTAGACGTAAATAGATGTCTGCAACGTTATATAATATATCGGCATCATACCTGATTTTATCGGAAATGTACTAAAAAAAGTTGCCGAACTGTCAAGTGGTTTTGCTGTCATTAATGCCTTAGATAAACCCGCACAAAATCACTAAATAGCGAGTTTTTAAAATAAAGGGGAAAGTGTTATAATCAATGCGCTTGCTATCTAGTCAGACACTTTCTGAAAATATTAACTGGTAAAAATCAATGTATATTACGTTGTATGTGAGGGAATCACCAGATTTGGTGTCGTTTAATCTTGACGGCTAATAGCATCGCGTGCTAACGTACCGCTCGTTGAAAATGAATGGCAAGTAGTTTCGTTTAGCCTAGCATGCTAATGCTACATGCTAAAGCTGGGCCTCATGCGCGAGCCGGTGTTCCCGGGCGCGAGTCCACTTCCGCGCGTCTACATTTTCCCCTCAAAAAGTGATCGAGAACCAGCAGATACTCGTTTATCATGTGTGAATCGAAAGCAAATAAAATGTTCGCCTGGAGAGGTGGAAAAAAATACTTCTACTTACTATTCCTTGATGAGCACCATCTTCTTTTCACCGGTTACGGCTGCGCGCAGGCCTGCCGACGTCACGACTGGCGTCACAAGCCAATGTATTCCCCGCGCCCTATCACATCCTGTGATGTGCTGCGATTTCTTTTTTCCTATCGCAACCCAACCAAATGTTTAATAATATGGATAATGCTATTGTTTTCCTACACTATCCACTTCGTATGATTAGTTTATTTACATTTATGCATTCAACACGTTTAACCTTCGTTTCCTGTTTACACAATTGATTAAGTAATTGTACAAAAAATATAAATTTTTAATCATAAAAATAATATTTCTTTTTTTTTTTGTTTAATTATCATCTATTCATCAATGCTGCACACAATTCCTCAACTACAACGTTAGCTTGCATATGATTTATTTTTTATTTTTTAATGCACATTGCATTTATGCTCTAGTACTAGGCCTTCATTTCTGTGTTTACAAACATTTTCAGATTTATGCCGGATTTTTTTTTTTTTTGACACATGAAGAAAATATATTTAGTTTTTTTTTTTCACATTTCCCATTCATTTCAATGTGGGGTCATATTGACCCCGGAGACCAGAAGTGTAAACATTTACATACCTTCAGAATAACCGAATCAAGCCCAGTTTGTGTGTGTGTGTGTGTGTGTATAGATAGATAATGTATGAAAAGTCACAAAATCTTATTCCACTGAGATGAAGGGAACCTTTTTTTTAATAAGTAAAAGTCGATTGGGTATTTGCTGTTAAATTTAGAAGTGTCTCAAAACGTTTCACAATCATAACCATTAAAAAAAAAAATCATATTCAGCTATTGGTGACTGGTGGTATACCATGGTACTGATAGAAAAACAAGGAATAGGCCTAACTCCAAAAATACAGCAGTATTCTCATAGCACCTCCAATTTGTATTTATTTATTTTTGTGTGGACTTGATATGATTCATTTATTTTATTTGAAGATTTTAAAAAAGATAACACAATAGACAGGAGCTCCATACACGTAATATTTTTGTTTTTCACAGTATAAAAGGGTATTTCACAGTATTTTTTACACTTGAAAATATATAGGTGGTCCCTGATATTTTTAGTTTCGGGGCATCAATACACTGTGTGTGTGTGTGTGTGTGTATATATATATATATATTTATAATGAACCCAAACGTATTGTCTTATATCATCACTGCATGATCACTTCATTGAGTTAATATAATGAAGTGGATTAATTTAACCATCAGAAACTCAAAATAATAAGTTATCTCAACTAAATAAATTATTATAAAGTTGATTTGACAAAAGAAAATATGTTGTGATTACAAATCTTGAAAATATTTTTTACAGTGTAAACATTCAAGCCCTGATTCAACTTCAAAATTAAAAGAAAGAAAAAATAAGCTAAATTATTGTAACTATTTATTAGTAACAGAAAAATTTGTACTGAATTTAATTTATGTTGATTTGAATTAAAGTCCCCCTGTAGTCAATCATTTTATCCCTTAAAACTCATCTTTAATCACCAAAGTAAACGGTATTTCCTTGAATTTTTTTTGTCATGCCTTAAAATATCTTGAATGTAACTCGACACCCTTGCCTCATTTAGTATACACGGTTCTATGTATATGCAAATGAGCCCCGCCTCCACTCACTCACTCAGGTCACAGATCAACTGGTTGACGGTCACACGTTGATCTGATTGGTCACAAGGTCGTTTGTGACGTCAGAAACACCAGCGATTTCAAAAGTCTTTGGTTCACTGCAGTTTTAAGGAGGAAACACTCAGCAATGCTGTAGACTCATGAATTTATATTAAAAACACCTCATATACATATAAACATAAACAACATTAAAAGCTTGATTTTCACCACAGGGGGACTTTAAATATGTGTAACGGGAATGCTAATTGTCAAGCAATGCAAAATAACTGTTTTATAACAGTAAAATGCTCTTGTTTTATTAATGAAGATATAATGCAGGTGAAATATTAAAAAGAAATGAATAGCAGACCACCACAAGGGTAAATTAAACTTTTTATTGAGACCATTTTGCTGAGAAATGACTGGGATGTGTCCGGATGAGAGTCCACATATGCAAAATCTCTGTTAAAAAGACATTGAATCACTGGAGAGCAAGAGAACCCATGCTGTAATACTGACACTCAATTCACACAGAAGTCAGGTCAGGTGCATCGTCACCATCTCAATAAAAATATGAAAATGTTTTTTTTTTCAACTTTTTTTGTGCATGATTTGCTTCTTTAACAATATAAAAACGTATAATACTGATTGCAAAACGTTGATTTTAATTTACAAAACAAATAACTGTAATAACAATTACCATCCATAATAATAATAATAATAACAATAACAATAATTATATATATATATATATATAAAATAAAGAAAACAAAAGAAATAAACCAGTCAAAGCCGCATCATATTCACTAACACAAACAGCGAGCCTTTTTGTCTTTTTGTTGAAATACCATTTTGGTATAATCTCTTCTTCTTTTTTTTTTAATCTGACATGCCTTGCGCAGGTCTAAGATCAGTCTGCATATATAAACGGTCCTTTACAGTGTCGGTGGAAGCATAAGGATTATATGCTCTCTGCACGGAAATGAAAACAGTAGGCAGTTTGAGGCTTCTTGGAATGTGCACTTCCTAACCCAGACTGTCCTTTCCACTGTTTACAAGAGTTATAAATACTCCCAATACTCCTTAATCAAGAGAGGGAACGGAATCTCAACATTTAGACGAAGGGAAGAACCGTCCCGGCGAGAGGAACTTGTACCCGTTCCCCGTAGGCAGTCGGATCGAATGCGAACCGGGACTGGAACCGGTGGAGGCCGTCGGAGAAGGCGCGACTCTCTTCGGATCGATTTTGCGATGGCCGTTTGGTGGATTTCTGTGTTCGAGCGCCACATCCTGACCGGCCGAATCCTGACCCGTCACTCCATGGCGAGGCGAGAGGTTCAAAAGACCCAGGACGTCTCGTTTTGCGGTGCTCAGTTTCCCGCCGCGGAGCACCCGCATCGGTCCCGAGTGCTGCTGTTGGGTCGCGTTGGCCCAGAAGGTCTTGAGATTGTGGATCGCTTGGACCTTCTCGTCAATAGCGGCGAGTTTGAGTCGGTCGATATCCGGGGCGTCCGCCGGACTGGAGCGAGTCGAACCCGTCGAGGAGTAGGACAGCGCCGGGGAGGGAGCGCTCCCGGCGGGCGACTGGTGCCCCGAGCTGGGCGAGACGTTACTGGGCGAGCGAGAGATGTGTCCGCTATACGGCGAGCTGGGATACTTGAGTTTGAACTGCTCGGAAGTAGGCGAGGGCTGACTGCCTTCCTTCAGGGACGTTTCAGACGTGGCGGGGCTGTTGTATCCCGAGCTGATCTTCTGAAGGGAGGAGGTCCGCGAAGGCGGTTTGGGGCGGGTCGGGAGCGGAGACGATTGAGCCTTGATGCTAGCTCTGCTACTAGGCCGACTGAACGCGCTCGTCTCCGAGGAACGGAAAGCAGAGCCTCCGGTTGGGGTCGGAGGACCTCCGCTGCTCATCCCGTCACCCAGCGGGACGCTTCTCTGCAAAGTCTCGACGGCCCGCATGTGGCTTTGCGTCTCTTCGAGGATTTTCTGCGCGAGTTCCTGCGGGTCCAAAGGCGCTCCGGACGTACGCTCCTCTTGGGATTTCACAGTGCTGTCCGTCTCGGTGCTCGACTGATCGGACTCGCCCGTGTCGGAGCTGCTCACCTTCCCGACCTTCTGGAACGGGGAGTTGGGACTGGGAACGAGGGTGGTTTTGACAGGGGACGTCGGGGTGCTCACGCTTCCCCGGGAGGACACGGATACCGCGTAACCCCTGCCGGCTCCGCCGCGCGCCGCGCCCCGATGGTTCCTGTGGTTCGCGGGACGAGGAAGCGTGTCGCATTGGCTTCCCAGCGGCTCACTGCTGATTATACTGTATCCCTCGTACTCTTCGTCTTCGTGTCCTCCCACGGCTCCGTGTGGGGACGAGCGACTGCGCGGCACTGCCGTGTGCCTGTGGGACGCGAAAATCCCGGCTCCGCCCCGATGCCGCTCCAGCTCCTGTTGTCGCGAGCGCTGGCTAATGAACTCGGACGCTCCCTCGGGACGGGACAGAAAGCTCATGGAGGAGGCGATGGAGCTCAGGCTGTAGACGGAGATGGCGTCCGATGCCAGGCTGTCGGGGCACGGGGGGGAGAAGGGAGGGTTGGGGAAGCCCATGGGCAGCTGGTGGGACACGGACTGTGCCGAGGCCAGCGACTCCAGAGACGAGGAACTGTCCAGACTCAGACGCTTCGGCAGCTCGGTGGAGTCTGAAGGAAACATTAGAGCATTTCAAGGAAGAACATTGCATTGATATCTGTATTTTCAACACATTCTCATCCCAAAAAGTCATATAACTGATGTTTTGGGACGTCTTTTGACCATACGTCAATATTCGCCTTTTTAGGGTACCCTTAAACGTTGGTAGATGGCGATCCCGGGCCGTCCTAAAACTGACGCTTTACCTTTAACGTCAGTTAGGTGACGAGTTAGGTTTAGGTCTGGGGTAGAGTTAGGATCCCATAACCTCATCTACCGACGTTTAAGGGGGCCCGAAAAAGGCGAATATTGACGTATGGTCAAAAGACGTCCCAAAACGTCAGTTATATGACTTTTTGGGGTGAGACTGCGCTGGTATTTTTAAAAGGAATAGTTCAACCAAAAATGTTCATTATCCCATGATTTACTCAGCCTCAAGCCATCCTATGTGTATATGACGTTCTTCTTTTAGGACAAATCATTATAGTTATATGAATTAATTAATTTCCTGGCTCTTCTTTCCAGCTTTGCATTGGCACTGAATAGAGTCTGAGTTTTTAAAGCTCCACAAAAGTGCATCCATCATAAAAATAATCCATACAGCTACAATGGGTTAATAAATGCTGGAAGACATTTTAAAAAAATCCATATTTAAGACATGGCTTTCGGCAACGACCACGGGAGTCAAGTTCCGATAGAAGCGTGACCTCTGACCTGATCACTGATCTATATAATGACTGGATAGCTCATGACGTTC